TATTGTACCCATATAACAATGTTAGACCAAGGGCCGTGTGACCATGATGAATAAATGAACTTTATTTAAGTAATGTCTTTCCGTAATATTGACCCTAGCTATTTTGTGTCCGACTTGAGAGATAGAATTGGACGGCCCCGATTTTACGTTAATAAAGTTCAAGTTCAAGTTCTTTATTACTTTAAGTCGGTTGACTTATCAGTCATAACATATATACAAAACAATACAGAGACAACATACAATAATAAGAGTAGTATCTGTTCGTTGATGTAACCGCTCGATATAAGGTAAGTCTATCCCACCTAAGGATATTTACACAGGAAGTTGTTGATTGTTTAGATCTGTTCTTCGTACTGCCTATGTTAAATTCAAGTCATACGCTTTATCAGCGCGGAAGCAGTTTTGGTTTTACTTTCAGTTAAATGTATAATATTAGTAGTAGCAACTACTGTAAGCAAATCGTAGTCATATTCGTAAACGTTAAAGGACTTCAAAACCGCCAAAACATGGGATTTGTATTCAAACATCGGAAATGGATGCGTTTGACAAGTAAACATCCTACCGTCTTAATTTATATGTAAGATTTATCAAGTCACAATTATAAATGGCGGCGGCATCAGTGATGCCTAGTGGCGGTATTATTTGCCGCACCTTCACTAAACATATTTTATTTCAAGTCTTCTGTTAAGATATTTCAAGAAAGAAATGATTTCAAGAGAACAAATATACAGAATAATTTAATTAATCCGGCAACCCTTTTATTTTCGATCGGGTGAGCCATTTACGCCAAAACCCTTGTCTTTGTTGTATGATTAGTAAACAGAGCTTCGCTGCATGTTCTAGTATCAAGGATATACATATGCAATTATTGTGACATCTCTGAGCTGCGGGGTGGACGCTGGAATACAAAAGGAAGGACAAAAATACACATCATACAATGCACGCCTTGCCATCATTGACAACGCACACGTGAACAATTTCCTCAGACAATTTTGTAATGATATACTTGTTCACATAAAGGTACATGTATCAGCTGACGAACTCTCGTAACGATATACTTGTTCACATGTAGGTACATGTATCAGCTGACGAACTCTCGTTAGCCACACAAAAAAGGTATCCAATGTTATTTTATCTACAGTAAAACCCCGTTTACTCGAACTCGTAGGGTCCAGATCAATAGTTCGAGGAATACATGGTATTCGACGAATCCGAGGTTCGACCGACATCGTCATTTTTTAATATGCACACAAAATGATAATACAGCTACAACATTTGAAAATTTCATTTCAACAAATTTTATTGACAAAGTTGTTACAAGTCAATTGGATGGAATAACAGGCCTTCTAAATTCTCTCCAAATGTGGCTAAAGTAATGGATTCTGTAATTCAATTTTGAAATGAAAATTATAAACACAAAAGTTAAAGGGATATAACTCATTCTTAATTAACATAGCTGAAATAAAAATACATTTACACTTCTCATATCACACACAAAACACTTTTACAACTACTATCTAATTGTTTATTACATTTTATATAAGCTATCAAGTCACATAGTTATTAGCATACATTGACCAACAGTCCATGTGCTAATCTATGCAGAGGTCACCGTTGCCAAAACTGTTAAGTTATTGTAATTTTAACTGTAGCGAGTGTATATGTAATTCAATGTATAAGATGGACATTATAAAACAAGACAGATTGAACAAATCTTACAACAAACAAACATGCTAAACTGAAAACTCCTATGTCCATTGAAGAATACAATTTATAGAAAAGTTGGTAAAGTAGAAAAAGGGTCTTTCTAGATATTTTACTCATTTGTGCAGTATAATTGAAATAGGAATAGAAAAATATAAAGTCATAGCTGGTTAGATTATATAGAGATTAAAACGCCTGGATTTACCAATGAATAACTGTACATCATTAGGTAACTGTCGGTTTGAGTTACCTATCCGAGGAGCTTTTAGCTAGCCGCGAGTAGATGAAGCCCAACATGGCTTACGAGGTGAACGAAACATAGGAAGTGACGATGACATCATGATACAATACAATACAATACAATACACATTTCACGCCTGTATATATTTTGACTGGTCTAGGAGAATAAACACATTTGCTTTCGATCCATTGAATTTAAGTAAAAGTTTTATACAAGAACTTTTTATTGCTTTAGTTAAAACTGCAATAAAAGGTGAAAAATTAATAGTGTATGCACATAAAAATGGGGGTAGGGGTAGCATGAATTGCATTTCTGATATAAAAACATTTGGTTCAATCATTTTTTTCATAATTCAGTAGAAAATACAGTTTTTATCAATTGTGCAAATATTCATTAATTTCTGATGGCGCACTTGTATGAATGGTCATCATACAATCAAAACGATAATTTTCACCAGGAGTCACACATTATGTTGAATAGGTATGTTTGACCGATCAAAACAAAAACACTAGCACACGGACATACAACTTTTCTTTGTATATTTTGTTTTCTCATATTCTCCTTTTTCCAAAATTCCATACTAGAAAAAAAAAGTTAAAAAAAAGTTTAATACAAGCCTTTTTTTTACTTCTAAGAGGAGTACATCCTTAACAGGAACTAGCGCATTATGATTTGTTTGCTTGCAAAGCTGTGTCATTCAAATAGATAATAAATACCATACAAAAACAGTTCATTACTTATATTTACGTTTTCTCTGCCTCTTATGTTCTTTTTCAACTTATAATTTATATTTAAAATTTAAAATGCCTGCCTTATCGACAGTCCACACAATTTCGTTCAATAGTTTGAACAGCGTATTGTCGCGTGCTGATTGGCAAACGAAGTAGTACTTTTTAACAAACGCTTAAATTTTATTTCACAATTCAGTATCAATACAATTGCGCATGATATATCTATAGGGTGATTTAAGTTTAACAATAGAACTCTGAGCTGAAAGTTATATTTGAAATTATTTCGATTTTTCCCCGGAACAAATTTTGCGCATGGACAAATACAGTGAACACCGTAAATCCGACCTTGCCCTCCACGAGGGAGTTATTTTTGGAAGTTAATTCAAACTTTTCTCTTTGCTCATTTTGTGAAGAATCAAGGCGTGAATGTATTTGTTGATTGTATGGGACCTGATAACAGTCGGTAGATTCTATAACATACTCGTTATTTGACATGTCGTCAGAAACTGAGGAATGGTGGATGCGAGACGCGTGAAAGATAGCGTTTGAAGTGAGTGATCTTGCGACGGAGCACAGGTTCGTTACAAATGTCTAAAATGTTTATGTGTGCTGTGACTCATATCAGTAGGTGTGTAACATATGTGTCAGTAGGTCTATATAATATGTGTATTTCAGACATTTTTAACGAACCCCTGTTGATCAGTGCAGTGTAACAGACGATATGTCTGATAAATTGCATGAGCGTTAAAATTGTTTCCATTGCCGGCATTGGTGATTTCAACCGATGCGCATTTTGTACGATATTGCAGACCTTGGTCTTGTTTTCGATGTAATAAAAGTGTTTTTTATTTTATTTTTTGTTTTGCACATAAATTTACAATGGCATTGTGAAATCTCAAATGCCCAACGATATTTCAGCAGCCGTCATGTTTATTTATATTGGATATTGTAGTTCCGGTCAGTGTTGTATTAATACGCTAAGGATTGTGTCTCGTGATGCATGATAATTAAAGTCCCATCAACGACACAGCTTTCAAAGAGGCTATATAGTGACAATGCCATGCAAAAGTAAATATAATAATATAAATATCGGTAGTTTGCTCTTTTCTTTAGTTGCAAGTTTTGCCAACAGCACTCTGTTATATACAATTTTATAGTTATTTGAGACAGCGCTTTGATTATTTTCAGAAATAATGTCTGATCAAGAATATTGCGATTAGACTGCAGATTATAAAACAAAGAAAATGATTGATACTCTTGTTCATCAACATTGCATCAGTTTAGTTTATGAAGAAAATAATAGTTTAACAGATTATGAAAGTAAGACTGACTTCTTTTACGGTCTTTCAAAAATGTACAAATTCTACCCCAGCAAAAGCTATTAAACAGCAAAATTCTGGTGTCATTGATGAAGAATGTCCAAGGAATTAGAAATTCAGACCAATGGTAATGTTTCAGTATTTGTTTACTTTGTTAATTGATGTCAGAGAAGACTTTTATTTCCTAGCCGATCCCTACTGGTTCCAAATTGCTATCATTTGATGTTGTAAGTCTTTACACAATAGCGTGCGCACACCGTGCATACATCGTTCACACACCGTCCGCACATCATCCACACATGGTGCGCACGACTGTGCGATTTAACAATCGTGCGCCCATCACGCATCGCTTAACTAAGGTATTGAAGCTATAAATAATGGCTAAGAAATGAATACACTTGTTTTTAACACAGTATTACATGAACACTCGTGTCAGATCCTCTACTCACAACATTTTTTTTCTTTTTGATTGACGTCACTATGGAGAATGTTCATTTGGAAGATATTAAGCTTATTTTCGTTTATACAGGTATACGAATTGGAGAATATTTAAATTCCTTTAGGTTATGACATTGAAAAATATTTTGTTTTTCTTATGTCACTTGGAAGATATTCAGTTTCTTGAAGTTTATGACATTATAGAGACTTGACCAGTACTTAAAGAAGTTATGTAACTAACCCACGGCAGTGCATTGGCCTAGTTCTGTATTTAGCGCTTCCCAAATAAAAATCAATACTACTACTGTCCGCATTCTGCGGGTCATTACATAAGTACCTGACTTTTAAGAATGATTGCATAAAAAATCATACATGTCGTGGAATGCTAGTTAAATTATTAGCATATTATATCTGAATTTATGTACTTGACTTTTATAACAAGAACACACTTTCAATGTATCGTGTCTGTGAACCTAATCAGCAAGGTCTCATAGTTAAAAGATAAGCTTGTTGACGTATTTGTGACATAAAATCACAATTCTACTTCAGTACATATCAAGATCGACAATGTTAAACGTCGTGCGGTTAGGTCTTGTGAGTGTAGCCCTGATTGCACAAGGTAAAGTTTGTGTTTATTTTATTACTTCGTTAATTAACGTTAATTCGATATTAGGTTGTTGAATCCCAAAAAGTGTTATTTAATAATACCTGTTTACATGGTTTAAACTGTTATATATATGAAATGTCCATGTTTTTTGTTCGATTAACTAAGCAGTCAAAACAGTGACGTTCAGATGTTACCTTCCGGTGCTTTGTCTGTCAGATTTGTTTATATTGATGTCATTTTCCCTTATACACTATTTAAAATGTTAAGAAGGTATTTTTAACCATTTTGCACTATTCAGGGTATTATTTTCCTTGAATGCAGCGTAGCCAACATGAACACGACTCATAATTCAAATGTATGTGAAACTATTTATGATTTAGTAATACTACCAATAGTAAAATAAATGAATACATAAATAATTTAAACGAGAGAGTATAATAGAGTGACTTTGATCTTCAGTGATCCGGGGATGTCCGAATGGCTGGGAAACGTTTGATGGATCCTGCTATTTTGTGTCAGACTTGTTGGAAGATTGGCCTACGGCATCGGTAAATTTTACATCAAGAAGTACATTACCAGCGCATGTTTTTTTAAACCGATTACAACTATTCACATTATAACGTTTAACAGCTGTAACCATTCAATATCACATTTGTGTTTTCTTAAAACAGGCAAAAATATTCATAACCTATTGTTTTCTATAAAGATGAAATTCATTTCGTTGATATTGCACCACTAAAAGAAATGGCATACCCAGTATGATTTTGCCCTAATAATACCGTTTTTGTTGGTTTAATTCAACTATTGATACTCCAGTGGAGACTAACTGTACCAATTTCTATTTTTCTGTCAATCTGAAATGTCCCAAGACCCTTTCGGTCACATTGAGCTGGGAACTGGTTAACTAGTTCTTGTTATAACCCTAAATACTGAACGTCTAGCAGGGGTGGGGTGGGGTGGGGGATAACAATTACCATTTAAAAGGGTTTTGGTTTGTTCCGCATTGAGAGAGAACCTGCTGCCTTCCTCAACTTGGCGAATGTTCATCAATTAGGCCAAAGTGAGGTGTCGTTAAGCAGGGTGATATAAAACAACAGTTAGTTCGTAGAAAAGAAAAAGATAAAAATGAATAGGGTGAAACATTATCAAAAATATTAAATATACCTGTTTATTGATTATAAGGTGCAGAATGCAGTCTTTACTAGATGTTCCTAATGATATGACGTCCGTGATAGATGTAGACTGCTGATGGACAAATGTCTAACACAGGGTTTCCAAACAACAAGGTTGATGAAGACTATGGACACTTTATGGTCGTAACCATGATTTCTTAATGTGATATGAAGGTCTATATTTTTAATTTAAGTTCATTAGTGTGCTTTATTATTTTGTTGTCACTACCCCAGTATTTTGTATAAGGACTATTTTGATTTGACCTTGCTTTGCATGGTTGGTGTCGTGAGTGAAGCAGAAGACGCGTTTTCTTCCGAAACACCTGGTCTTATTATATTTTGTTTATTTTCAGTTCGTATTATAGTTTTGTCGACACTGCGGTATAAGCGTGTTGTTTTTCGTGGTTAATGCTATTGCACAATTGTATTGATAACTTACAGACCACATGTGGATTGTATCATGCTTATCTTGCTGAAATAGAAGACGCAAACGAGGAAAATTTCCTAAAACAGATAGTCTCCAAATTCCATGGTAGGTTGATGTGTTTGATGATTATAAAAATAGTTCCAGATCTGGAATCGATTTATTGTGAACTTTTATTTTTGATCTGTTTATCCCCCTTGTGCTGTGATCATGATGTGAGAAATAATTGCTGTTATCATATTTATAATGTATCGTCTTCTTTTGTTCACAATACTTTATTTTTGATATCATCTAATTTCAATTTTGATGATGCTTCCATTTACCCCGACCAGGAAATTCATTAACCAAGAGGAAAAATATTTTTTGATTCAACATTTTAACGTCTGATTTTTTATGAGAAACACATATGAAATAAATAGGGCACATCCTATAGTAAGACTTTAAACAGCCTATGAAAAGAAAGTGCTTATAGTGCATGGTAGAATCATATTACACTTACACGATGTTAAGCACATTAACGTAATACGTACACAAAACGACTTTATTTATCCCCTGTTATTTCTCCAGATGGACACTTACATGATTACGACTATTGGTTGGGGGCAACCGACACGTTTGTGGAGGGTGACTGGCGATGGATGAACAGTGGCCAACGTCTTACTTATACACACTGGCTTCCGGACGAGCCAAACGGTTACCATACACAGGATTGTATGATAATACGCATTTTCGGTGCAAATAATTATCATTGGGATGATCGGGAGTGCACTGAAAAACTTAATTTCATTTGCGAGATCGGGTAAGTTGTAAGTAAAGATAATAAGGATGCATTGTATTTTAAGAAGAAAATGACATAATATGTTTTGGTTGAATAATTACAAAAGCATTGCATAAGGCCTCATTCAACTCGTCTGGTGATTTGTATATTAGAAATTATATACTTTTGATTATTACCTATCCCTTCTTGTTTCCAATTGTTCTTTCTGTAACACGGCATGACTTCATAAAGATTTATACTATATATGGCAATATTTACCGTTAAATTGAAAATGTTCCCGATGTTGAAATGATTGCTTTGTGTCTATTAAGTTACTGCCTAAATGTCTTTTCTTAGAACCGTGAAAGGTCCGTTTACACGAATCTAGGTCTGGCACTTTGATTAATGATGTTTCTGAGGAATCCTGATTTCTTACTCTTTTTATAATTTCGATAGCTTACACTAAATTCATACTTGAAATGGTTCTATTAACAGTGCTGGATCTGGAGCAATCGTGATTGGCTGAAACTGTTTACGACATTTCATTTGTTTTGTTTGTGTTAATATTTCTTCTGTTTTGAAATAAATATATGATGATAATAAGATATCATGAAATTTGTTTTAATTTGCGGTACAATACATAAACATGCCCCATTTCGACACTTCGATGTGTCATTACATCACTTCAACGATCTATACCTATTGACCACGACAATCCATACTTATTGACCACGAATATCTATATTTTTTTACTACGACAATCTATTTCTATTGACTTCAACAATATCACTAAATGGGAACGGCAATCTATACTTATTGACTAGACTACGACAATATCATCTTAATGGCTACGACATCTATACTTATTGACAAAGCGGATATATATATACATATTTACATTTGCATGGCATTGTCACTAAATAGCCTCTTTGAAAGCTGTGTCGTTGATGGGACTTTAATTACCATGCATCACGAGACACAATTCTTAGCGTATTAATACAACACTGACCGGAACTACAATATCCAATATAAATAAACATGACGGCTGCTGAAATATCGCTGGGCATTGTCAGATTTGATAATGTCATTGTAACTTATGTGCAAAATAGAAAATAAAATAAAAAACACTTTTATTACAACGAAAACAAGACCAGGGTCTGCAATATCGTACAAAATGCACATCGGTTGAAATCACCAATGCCGACAATGGAAACAATTTTAACGCTCATGCAATTTATCAAAAAAATCGTGTGGGTCACTGCACTGGTCAACAGGGGTTCGTTACAAATGTCTGAAATACACATATTATATAGACCTACTGACACATATGTTAGAGACCTACTGATATGAGCCACAGCTCACATAAACATTTCAGACATTTGTAACGAACCTGTGCTCCGTCGCAAGATCACTCACTTCAAACGCTATCAGTTTCACAAGTCTCGCATCTACGATTCCTCATTTTAATTCTGACGACAGGTCAAATAACGAGGCTGTTATAGAATCTACCGACTGTTTTCAGGTTCCCGTACAATCAACAAATAAATTCACGCCTGGATTCTTCACAAAATGAGCAAAGAGAAAAGTTCGAATAAACTTCCAAAAATAACTCCCTCGTGGAGGGCAAGGTCGGATTTACGGTGTTCACTGTATTTCGTCGGATTAACGGTGTTCACTGTATTTGTGCTAGCACGCATTATGTTGTTTGCTTGCAAAGCTGTGTCATTCAAATAGATCATAAATACCATACAAAAACAGTTCATTGCTTAATTATTGACTAAGACAATCTATACTTATTGACTAAGACAACATATACTTAATGTCTACGACAACATATACTTAATGTCTACGACAACATATACTTATTGACAAAGCGGGTATATATACTTATTGACAACGACAATCTAACTTATTGACAACGACAACATATACTTAATGTATACGACAATCTATACTTATTAACAAAGACAATCTAAACTTATTGACTAAGACAATATATACTTATTGACTAAGACAATCTAAACTTCTTGACTAAGACAATATATACTTATTGACTTCGACAATACATACTTGTTGACTACGACAATATATATACTTATTGACTTCGATAATACATACTTGTTGACTTCGATAATACATACTGATTGACTACGACAGTCTGTAGTTATCGACTTCACCAATCCATGATGTGGACAACTACATTCTGTGCTTTTTAATTGCGACAATATTGACAAGGAAATGACCTACACAGATGCAATTTTAAGAATACTAATACATTAGAACATTTCTTTCCAATAACTCTGATTCACCCGTTTAGTGTCCAAGATACACTACCAAAACATTAAAAAAAGAACCCCACCTACTACCTGCGCGTGTGTTATTCCAAAAATTAAGGCAACCAATTGACCTCGTTTATGAACTAAATAAAGTAAGACTAGCCGTGAGATAAGCCGTTATCTTTGGGTTTGTTAGCGTAACAACAATAGACATATCTATGTAAGACGAATTCACGGCTCGAAACTCGATAATGGCGTGCATTGTACAATTAGGCATTGTTTGTATAGTTCTGGTTGTGCAAGGTAAGGTTCGGATTTATTATATCATTTCTACTTTCATTTTAAAGTTTTTAAAAGATTTTTTCATTATTCATTTAAGTCTGATATTAACATTATGTTAATCATTTTACGTCTAATCGATACCACGGTCCATGATTGTAACGTTTACGTAGTATGACTGATCAGCTGATCTCGATTGACTTTTAGAGATAAAATATTTCACACAAAATATAACAGATCAATGTTTATTTAAACTTCGTGTTAACAAATAGTAAACATCCGATAAAGACGGGTTTAAACTTCGTGTTAACAGATAGTAAACATCCGATAAAGACGGGTTTAAACTTCGTGTTAACAAATAGCAAACATCCGTTAAAGACGGGTTTAAATTTCATGTTAACAAATTGTAAACATCCGATAAAGACGGGTTTAACAGTATTTTCAATAACATTACATTATGTGCTAAATCATTAGGAGAATCACACGCCCTATTACTTATGAATAATTCAAATGTTTTTGATTTATTGATTTCAGTGATCCGAGGCTGTCCGAACGGCTGGGAAACTTATGATGAATCCTGCTATTTTGTGCCCGACCTGAGGGAAGATTGGACAGCAGCATCAGTAAAATCAAGAAACTACATTTATACTCAGACACATATTCGATATTTCGAAGATTTTATTTGATACTTCATGAAGACAATTACGTTTGAGGGCTGAATTATTTGTCGGTTGCATATCTTTATTTTGCTGAAGGGATATGCACGGTACAAAATATAACCAAGAAAAATAGACAAGTAATTTCATTTTAAAAGCATTAACAAACAACATCTTATTTAACGGTGACTCTTCCAGAGTCCCCCAAACTACCCATTGAGATGCAAAAAAGAAAGTACAGCTACATATCAAATTGGAGCGAAATTGAAAAATATCTAACCTCTCACCAATCAGAATGAGAGACGGAGAAGTATGATGTCTGTATTAAAATAATGCACAGTGTACGTCTACGTTTCAATCCTTATGTTTCATATGTTTCAGGAGTTTAAGACAATTTGTTTTGGAGAAGGGAAAAAAGGGGAGGTGGGAGAAGACGGGGAGGGGGGGGGGGGGCAAATGGCGTAACATTGGCGTGCCCAACAGCATGTTCAGCATACCAGAGGCCAAAGGGTTAACGTTTGTTGGTGGAAATTCAAAACAATTCAGCTTAAATCATCTGATGAAAATTTGGCAACCATTTTGTATAAGAGTGAAAAATAATTAGTAACAAAGAAAAATTATAACAATTATAAAAAATGCAACAAAAGCAATAACTCCTTGAACAGATTTGTGGGACTTATTATTTGTTTCTCTTAACAGACCACGTGTGGCTTGTACCAGGCGCATCTCGCTGAGGTTGTAAATGCTAACGAAGATAACTTCTTGAGGCAATTAATCACCAAACATCATAGTAGGCTTGGTTTCCATGTTTTAGTAACGATCTTAGTGCAAAGATAACTGATAAAGATCTCTGAATGGCTCTGAATCCTTATCACTGTGTAGATAGATGTCCAAATGATACGTATGCACAATTACTGATCCTAAAGGATGTTTACCTATGGTCATTAGGAATATATATTACTGTTGGATAAAAGAAGTAGCAATGCATAAGCGTTATGTAAGTTATATGGCTTAACAACGAAACACGCAAACACCTCCGATTAACGATTAACTCAGAGCTTCTTTCTTTTCTAAGGTGGACACGGAGGCAACAGATACTACTGGTTGGGCGGAACCGACATGGTGGTGGAGGGAGAATGGCGTTGGATTAAAACTGGTCAGTCTATAAATTATACCAACTGGGCCCATGGCGAGCCTAACAATCACCACTCCCATGAGGATTGCTTAACAGCGCATCTCACCAGCGAATCTCACTTCCACTGGGTCGATAGGCAATGCACCTACAAATGTTATTTCGTTTGTAAGATAAGGTATGTTTGAAGTTTTTATAAAAACTGCATTTTCATTATAAATAGATAATGCTATTTATGCTATCGTCAATTTGTTTTATGGAATAGCGACATGTACAATGTAACAGGTTTTTTTGTGTTAGATATGTAAAATCAACATATTCGGTTGATACCTGAATTAGGTTTCAAATTCTTATTTCGCTATTTTGAGTCAAAATTTTAAAATTCATTTTTACACGGATTAACATTCTCGCGATCTCAAAATATTGAGAGAGAAGCTTTACGAGAATAGTATCTCCATGTCGGTTTTTATATCATTAATATGTTAATGATTCAATCACAGGATACTAGGCATTTAATCAATGCCAAATTATCGAACAAAGGGGCTTTATTTCAGTACATGAGTACATGTAAGTAAGTCGTTGTGTTCACAAAATTATCAACAAACCAAAAGTGATATCATTTATTTTTATACAAGTGACAGTCAAACTTTTCAGAAAACTATATGAATATTCAAATTACATGCTCGCTCTTTTATGATTCACGAAATCACGACTTTATTACCGGATGATGTCAATGACAGGCAAACAAAATGATCATCCTCGAGGAAATGCCAGCTTAAAGCGTTAATATATTTAACAAAGATATCTCCAGGGCTGTAATGTGAAAGCTGAAGATTTGGAGCTATAATGCATTAGGTACAGATACATTCTGAGATACAATACTTTAATCAGTAAAGATATCTCCAGGGCTGTAATGTGAAAGCTGCAGATTTGGAGCTATAATGCATTGGGTACAGATACATTCTGAGATATAATACTTTAATCAGTAAAGATATCTTCAAAGCAATAATGAATTTAAAAAAAATAATCTTCAGAAGTATAATGAAGATGGTGATTCTGCTTTTTAATGTCGCTTACTCGATTTTATGGTTATGATTAATATAGGTCACATTTTATTGAAACCGTATTACATTCATATTTATATACTTGTCTTTCAGTGCCCATTGGATACAGCTTGGTTGAAAATGAATGGATACATCATTTGAATTACAAAATAAACTAATATATACATATCTGATATATATGTTCCTGGTCATTTTTTTTCTACTTACCGCAAAGTTGTATGTGCTTGTCGGTTTAAGCCATTTGTACAAACCTGTATAGTACTGTATTAATCAGACAAAAAGGACACAGCATCACGTATTGACTTTATATTCCGGACGGATTCCATCAATGTAAACGCCTTTTGAATTACAAAAGAAAATTAAGTAATATACCTTATACCTCATATATTTGTTCCTGATTTTCCGTACTTACCTAACAATGGATACACGTAAATGTGAATAAAACATCAGAAATCAAAGTACATGTATGTATAAAACTGTAATTCAAACTCAAAATCGCTCAAAATAGGACGTATAACATGTAAAAGTACAAAGAGAATAAAAGCATCCATTATTTAAGTGCTTCTTTCTGCTGCAATGCCCGCCATGTTAATCTAAGTTAAATCCTGAAAATGACACGTTCCCGAAAATAGTATCGGGTTTTTAAAGAAATTCTAAACAAAACATGAGTCATAAAAGGATATCAGTTATCAATCTTATTAGCTATCAATTATACAGACTTACATATAGCACTTCTTGCTCCCTGGGGTGCCGGCACTTTACAGGGAGAATATTGGAGTTAGGGGAGATGTACTGCCATAAATAGGTAATTGTCTGAGTAGACACACAACAGAAAAACATTAAATCATTTAACAAGATGTTGGTCAAGGTATGTAATATGAAAAGAATAAAAAAAAAATACAATTCACTAAAGAAATGCTTTTAAGATGGATTTAGCCAAAACCTCTATAGGTGACACATACACAGATGGAAAATCACATATGCAACTTTTTTATTAGCTTTTTTTA